AAGTCAGAATTCAACTGCCGATTAATAGACTTTTTTGCCGAATGGGTATACGCTGCCCAGGGTGCACCACGCGGGGGTAAGTCTATCGCGTACTCTTTTTTAAGAACATAGGCGGTACGATATAATTGATGGGAGATAAAACTTTTTTGTTTTATGTAAGTCCCGAGTTATTTATTAATGAGTAAACTCGGCTTCTTCTTTCTCTTCATAAGAAGCTAATTTCATGAATGACTTATTAACTGTTTGCATAAAATAAGCACATCTAGCATTTCAATGTCTGCAAATTGATTTTTTCTGAAACAAAATAAGTTATAAATAGAATGGTAGTCAAATTTGTACTCGATTTAGCTTTAGCTTGTGGGACACGTCATCGCATGCCTGCACGCCAGGATTGGGAGGTGCGACCGTACAAACAGTGACCTCTGTTTAACCTAATCCACCACTCTGATCATGAGTAGCTCCCTGCGTGTACACTTTATCCGCAATGTACTCATTGAACAAACCTGCTCCGTGCTACACGTCCGTTTCCTTATAGCTGGGCTATAGCTTAGCTGGTTCTGGGAGTCTAGCTAGATGTAGGAGGAACTGCCATAGAGATTTCGGAGTCAGTCAGGCTTTAATAAAGTAGCAATCCGCTACAAGCTCAATTAAATAGCTTCAAATGAAGGTTAAATTTGGTATATACAATCGAGATTTTGCCTTTTAATTCGTCAGAAAATCCCTTTTGAAACGGTTGGTGTGAATATTAAATATCAAATGTGTTTTCAATTCTCGCTTTAATTTTGTAAATAAGTTTAGCGGGATCTATATAGAAAGCAAATTACTTTTTTATTATTCTTGAATTAATCGATTTCTGAACATGAATTAAGTGATTGCATTTCAAATTGAGCTAACAGCAACTTTGTTTAAAAAGTTTATGATATTTGAATTTTTGATTACATCTCACTCTTTGCAATATTCAGTTATTTGAGACTTTAATCGTGGTGCTCTAAACATGAACGGACGTCAGAAAAATGTGAAAACCAAAATGGCTGTCAACGGACTCGATAGGGACAAAGCATGCCTTGGCCTTTCTGCCAATTATGGAGGTTTTGAAATTAATATTGGGCCCACAGACACAATTTTTGGAAAGAAATTAGAATTATGTGCAAATGAGTGCCGATTGGCCAATTGTCCCCAATGTCGCACAATTTTGATACTCGAGGAATTAGAAAAAATTTTCGATAGTAAAAAGCTTCCTTATCTTGAATATCTATACGTTAACATGGATCACAATAGATTTGTTCCAATGTCTGCAATTCTCAAAATTCCAGAGATGGTCGCTCTAAAAGCAAATGANTAATCCACCACTCTGATCATGAGTAGCTCCCTGCGTGTACACTTTATCCGCCAGTACTCATTGAACAAACCTGCTCCGTGCTACACGTCCGTTTCCTTATAGCTGGGCTATAGCTTAGCTGGTTCTGGGAGTCTAGCCTATAGCTGGGCTATAGCTTAGCTTATTCTGGGAGTCTAGCGTAGCTGGGGTATAGCTTAGCTGGTTCTGGGAGTCTAGCTAGATGTGGGCTATAGCTTAGTTGGTTCTGGGAGTCTAGCTAGATGAGTTTCCCTTATAGCTAGGCTATAGCTTAGCTTGTTCTGGGAGTCTAGCTAGATGTTGGAATATCTGCCATAGAGAGAGCTATAGCTTAGCTGTTCTGGGAGTCTAGCTAGGTGTTGGAGAATCTGCCATAGAGATTTCGGTCAGGCTTTACTAGCGTAGCAATCCGCTACAATGCAATCCGGTCAGGCTTTACTAAGGTAGCAATCCGTTACAATTCTCAACCGGTCTGGCTTTACTAAGGTAGCAATCCGCTACAAGTCTTTAACCAAGGCTTTACGAAGGTAGCAATCCGCTACATGTTCGAGAATAAAGTAGCAATGGGCTACAAGCTCAATTAAATAGCTTCAAATGAAGGTTAAATTTGGTATATACAATCGAGATTTTGCCTTTTAATTCGTCAGAAAATCCCTTTTGAAACGGTTGGTGTGAATATTAAATATCAAATGTGTTTTCAATTCTCGCTTTAATTTTGTAAATAAGTTTAGCGGGATCTATATAGAAAGCAAATTACTTTTTTATTATTCTTGAATTAATCGATTTCTGA